GCAAACCTGGCTTTCACGTCTTTCCAAGTCATCTGTTAAGAAAGAAATGGTGCATATAGGCTATTAGGAGGCATTTCTTAATTTATTTAAGGCAAAACTCTGATCTTCATTTGGAATGAGTAAAATGTGTAATTACTTCTTTTATTTCATGCGATGATCAAATATCCATTTTTTAAGGTCACTACTTTTGTTTAAGGTTTTTGTTTTTGTTTTTGGTTTTTTTTTTTGAGACAGAGAGAGAGAGCACACACACAAGTGAGCAGGAGAGGGGCACAGGAGAGAGAATCTTCAGCAGGCTCCACGCCAGGCACAGAGCCCAAAGGAGAGCTCGATGCCACAACTGTGAGATCATGTCCTGAGCCAAAAACAAGTGTCAGAGGCTTAACCAACTGAGCCACCCAGGCACTCCAAGGCTCCATTTTTTTTTTAATTTTATTTTTTACATTTATTTGCTTTTGAGAGACAGAGAGAGAGAGAGCACAAGTGCGGGAGGGGCAGAGAGAGAATGAGACACAGAATCCGAAGCAGGCTCCAGGCTCCGAGCTGTCAGCACAGAGCCCGATGTGGGGCTTGAACTCACAAACCATGAGATCATGACGTGAGTCGGAGGAAGTCGGAAGCTTAACCAACTGAGCCACCCAGGCGCTCCAAGGCTCTATTTTCTTTTAAGCCTCTGTAACATTCCCTGTTTGACAAATTCCAAGAGCTAATAAAAGCGCATCCAGCCCTCTGCCCAGTGGGAGGGCTGGTGGGGGCTGAGTGGTGACAAGCACTATGCCCTGTGATCAACGGGGTCTCCAACCCCTTGGTTCCTTGCCTGGCTGTTGTTTCTACCCAAAAACGTAAAGGTGCTTGAAATATTAGATACTGAAATACATCACAGGCAGAATGGACAATGCCACAAAAATCTGTTCTGATACATGGATAACTTTTATTTACCTACCACAGGGAAAACCAATAGTCACCTAAAGCTGCCTAACCCATATTTCCAACAGTGACGGTGTTTAATTTACTATCCACCTTTAAAAGGCTTCAAATAAAATACAGATAGGAAAATACATAAAGAATTAAGATTATAAAACTATCCAGGTAATTAATGATCATAATAATACTAGGACTGCAGTTAAAAAAAGCAGTTTTCCATAATTTACTTGAAGTACAGATAATGAGTACCAAATCTATACATTAAGTTGTAATAGACAGTTTTAGGCAAACGGTATCAAACTGTATAACTTTTAAAAATTAACCGAAGTTGTTACAAACTGTATAAAAATTGATATTATTCTTCAAGTTCTCCTAAAAGCTCTACAAAATCAGTGATGTACCATTCAGCGTTGTCTTTTACTTGTTGTCTGATCACATTTCCTCCAAATCCAATGAAAACATCCTAAGAAAGGGGAAAAAAGGAGAGTTAAAAAAAAATTAAAAAAGATATAGCGGCACCCTAGGGCAGTAAGTGTTTGAAAAGAATGAACTGTTCTGCAAAGAGAGGTTAAGCCTAGCCTCAAGGGGGTGCCTCCCCAGCTCCCTGGGAGCGTCCTTGAATGAGTCAGTGCAACACCGCTGTCAGTCCAACCAGGCCAGGGGACACTGCAGGCTTCCAGGAGAACTGAAGCCCTCTAAAAACCAATACAATTGCTTACAAAGGTAAAATCCCATCTGAGTTCTAAACTAGATGCATTCACAACTAGGCCGGGCAATCTCAAAGAGGGAAGAATAAAGAGAAGCCTGGAGTGCAGTGGAGATCCCACTGGCCTAGAATCAGGACCAGAGCAGGCGCCTCCTGACAGGTGCCTTGTGTGAACCTGACAGACCTCCTTCTGGGATGAAGCAGATGACAGTCCCAGGATCTGCTGCCGCACTCCACTTTCCATCCTTAAAATTATTGAAGATTATGTTGTTTCCTTAATTTCTACCAAGTGACACCTTCTTGTAGTCATTTTTAAAATAGTATTTTCGGGGCGCCTGGGTGGCGCAGTCGGTTAAGCGTCCGACTTCAGCCAGGTCACGATCTCGCGGTCCGTGAGTTCGAGCCCCACGTCGGGCTCTGGGCTGATGGCTCAGAGCCTGGAGCCTGTTTCCGATTCTGTGTCTCCCTCTCTCTCTGCCCCTCCCCCCGTTCATGCTCTGTCTCTCTCTGTCCCAAAAATAAATAAACGTTGAAAAAAAAAATTTTTTTTTAAATAAATAAATAAAATAGTATTTTCTCAGGGCACCTGGGTGGCTCAATCAGTTAAGCACCAGACTCTTGGTTTCAGCTCAGGTCACGATCTCACAGTTTCGTGGGTTCCAGCCCCACATCAGGCTCTGCGCTGGCAGCGTGGAGCCTGCTTGGGATTCTCTCTCCCTCTCTGTCTTTCCCTTCCCACTCACTTTGTCTCTCTCAAGCAAATAAATACAAATTTAAAAACATAGTATTTTCTCTTTTTCCGCCAGGATATAGACACTACATACATAATTTGGAAGTTGAAAATTCTTTTACTTGCCTTTTCTCTTCATTTTTGTTTTCATACCACATAAGGAGGGAAACATAATGAGATTCTTACCTTCCAGTTAAGTGTAGCCTCCTAACTGAGCCTCCTTTCTGCATGCCGGCACCCGCTCGGGGTCCTAACACACCAACTCATTCCCTCTCTGTCCAGCAGCCTTCCAGGGCTTCCCATGACCTCACAGGGACACCAAAGTGCCTGACACATAAAGTCTTCAGCAGTTGCTGAAGAGAAAGCCCATTCTTGCCAGTTCTTGTGCACTGACCAGCCCAGGTCTGTGCCTAGAATATCCCCACTCTGTTCTGCTGCCTCCCTGCCTCCTGCCCCCACCTGGTCACTTCTCCCTTGGGTCCTTCCAGGCCTGCACATGGTGGCTGTTGCCCTTCCTTCAAATCACACATTCCTCTGACCACGTCAGCCAGCACACACTTTCCCTTGGCTCGGTCAGGCCGTGTCATCTTCCAATGACTGGAAGGGTCCTCTGGAATTATAATTTTGTCACCTCTTGACATCAGGAGGGGGAGCTCCCTGATAGAACTGGGCATATGTGACTTCTACATACTCCTCATTGGACTAGTCCAGCATTCATGACTTAGTCAACCTCAGCCTTGATTGTAAATCATCTGAAGACATCTTCTTATCTTGAATTGACTCAAGTAAGTTAAAAGGATCCAAAGATTCTTTAACCACTTTGGGTTAATCATTTACAAAGACAACTATTTTTAGATCTCAGGAAACTAGGTAGTAAAAAGCTCACCACTACATTTTTGGTTCAGGTTTTCTTAATTTAGTATGAGCTGATAAGGGCAAAGTCCTGCATGAAAGTGACACATTGCTGTATAGCATGTTTCCTAGTCTCAGAAAACAACATTCATTCAGAAGAATAAAATGCTTTAATACAGGCACGTTATCAAACCTCCACCAGCCTCAGTTCCCTACTCAGTAAAAAGGAGAAGATACTGTATGAGGAAATAGTTCGTCAAATATAAAAAGACAGTAAAATTTTGATTACAGTTATAAGATCTGAATTATTATTTGTGGTATTATTTGGGGAATCGAAGCCAAACCTTGAGCACACACTGGGGCTAGGAGGTGGCAGCCATACCACAGGAACAGGGTGGTAAAGTTCTAGATGGTTTTTTTCAGGTTTGCAAAAAGTCAGTTGACATATTGAGACTGAAGGTGTCTTAATTGTTTTGGTTGTTTTACAGTGACACCTGGATGTTCTTCTCTCTTATCTCATCTAAGCAATCATACCAAGTTCTAAATCAGCTGTTTAAAACAGAACCACAACCAGAGAAAACTAGTACACTTAATACCTACAGCAGGAGGACAGGCTTCCATGTCTGTGGCTCCGTCTCCAATCATGATAATTTTCTTAAAATGAAATTTTTCCTTTAAAAGTTTAATAACTTTTCCTTTCCCACCAGATTCGGCTGTTGGCTGCATCTCATCAAAACCTGCATATTCACCTTAAAAGAGCAGTTACAACAGTGTTAATGATCCACAGAATTCTATCAGTAGGGCCAGCTTTTTGCATAGATGATACCCTCACTTAAATGTCACTGAGAAAGCTAAAAATGGCCCTCAGTGAAGTGACCCGGCCTGGATTTCTACACCACAGCCCCACATAAACAACTTTGCTTCTCACTTGCAAATACTTCTTGTTGAGGTAACTCCTTTAAATCATTAATGCCTTGGGGTAAATCAGGTTTATCCTCTAAGCTTTCATAGTTGTAATTCTCAAACCTTGCTGACACGGCAGAACATCATGAAATGATAATATCTTAAAATTTTTAAAAGTTAATATATAATTTCATCTAAGAGGCAATTCCAACGTATATTTGATCAATTTTATTTCTTACAGTAATTAGCACACTCCCTCTCTCTTCAGACCCATCCAAAATGTTTTATTAACACATCTAAAATTTTTAAATTAATGTTATTTGGTTTTAAGGATGTCAGCCAGTCCTTGACATAACTAGAGACATTATGCGATGATGGAAAACTACAGCTGCAGCTGTGATGGTACACAGAAGGGCCAGGAGGCACTTTCAAAGGAGCGACAGAGGGGCGCCTCGGTGGCTCAGTCAGTTAAGCGTCTAACTCTTGATTTTGTCCCAGGTCATGATCTCAGGGTTCTGGGATCGAGCCCCGCGTTGGAGCCTGCCTAGGGTTCTCTCTGCCTCTCCCTCCCTCTCTGCCCCTTCCCATCAAGGCAGCGACAGTGCAGTGACTCACTAGTAAACTCTCCTTCCTTAGCCTATGATTGATTTGAATACATGAGAGCTCTCATAAAACTGAAATATAATGCGAGACAGAGTAAGTCATGTGGGAATCAATGTGCAGACATTTATATACAGAGAGATGATTATATGGACACTAAAGCTAGCAGAGATGATGGCCCAAGTCTGTTTTGCACGGAGCAAAAGACCTCAATCAAGAGTATCCTTTGCCTCAGTATTTAACTCTGATGCCACCTTGCTTAAGTTGCATCCCAACAGACACTACATAAGATACTGGATACTAGGCCCCGGCAGAGAAGCTGAGGTCATCATTGAATTTGAAATATTTAAAGTGGATACAAAACTGTTTCAGCAATGCAGACAATTAAGTGTGTTGTTGTGGGCGATGATGCCGTTGGTAAAACCTGTCTCCTGATATCCTACACAACAAATAAATTTCCATCGGAGTATGTACTGACTGTTTTTGACAACTATGCAGTCACAGTTATGATTGGTGGAGAGCCATATACTCTTGGACTTTTTGATACTGCAGGGCAAGAGGATTATGACAGATTACGACCGCTGAGTTATCCACAAACAGATGTATTTCTAGTCTGTTTTTCAGTGGTCTCTCCATCCTCATTTGAAAATGTGAAGGAGAAGTGGGTGCCTGAGATAACTCACCACTGTCCAAAGACTCCTTTCTTGCTTGTTGGGACCCAAATTGATCTCCGAGATGACCCCTCTACGATTGAGAAACTTGCCAAGAACAAACAGAAGCCTATCACTCCAGAGACTGCTGAAAAGCTGGCCCATGACCTGAGGGCGGTCAAGTATGTGGAGTGTTCTGCACTCACACAGCAAGGCCTAAAGAATGTATTTGACGAAGCAATATTGGCTGCCCTGGAGCCTCCAGAACCGAAGAAGACCCGCAGATGTGTGCTGCTATGAACATCTCCAGAGCCCTTTCTGCACAGCTGGTGTCAGCATCGTACTAAAAGCAATGTTAAATCAAACTAAAGATTAAAAATTAAAATTCGTTTTTGCAATAATGACAAATGCCCTGCACCTACCCACATGCACTCATGTGAGACAAGGCCCATAGATATGGTCCCCTTCCCCCTCTCAGTACTAGTTAATTTGAGTAATTGTGTATTGTCAGAAAAGCGGTTAGTACTAGTTTTTGTTCTGTCGTTTCAAAAAAAAATTTTTTGTTTTGTTTTTGTTTTTGTTTAAAAGCAAGGCATGCTTGTGATGACTCTGTAACAGACTAATTTGGACTGTTGAAGCTGTTCCCGGGGCTCCATCCACTCTGGAGAATAATCTGGGACATTTAGGGGTTTTGTTTTGGTTTTTGTTCTTTTTGTTTTTGTTTTTTTCTTTTTTGCAGGGGGGGGGAGTGTGTGTGGGGTTTGTTTTTATTTAGTCATGTTTTTTAAATTCAGTAACCATTGGACAGCCCTTAAGGGGAGGAGGATGGACTGACTCCACATTCCACTTCCTAGATCTAATTTAGAACACTTGTCCCCCACCTGGTGCTCTTAGGAAGGAGTATAGTAAACGCCTCATTTAATAACATACTCCTTTTTGAAAGTTGCCTTTCTCTCCACCCTTGAGTAGGTCTAGTACTTGATGAAACTCATGAAAGCGGGTGGAACCTGTCTTGCCCCTCTTTTCTAGGAGACACTCTATATGTGACTGTGACTTTCAAGGAAATTTGTTTGTCATTTGCTGATTTTTTTTTTGAAGTTAATTTCTAACTTCATTCACTGATAAATGAAGAAAAGTACTGCACCTTTTGAAATACACCAAATGGATTGAGTACGTAATTAAAAAACGTTTTTTTCCCTGTCAGTCATTGTCTTCCATGCTTAGCGTAGATGTCCAGTTTAATAGCGTATGATACGGTGTTCCTAGAACACAGCCGGAGACCTGGTAGATCGAGGAAGTGTGAGGGGTGGTGCTAGAAGACAGATGTCTGTGGAATGATGCACATCCTCTTTCAAGTTGGAGGATGGAGACAGACCTGCTTCATGAAGAAGCTGGGGGTGCGGGTAGGGGTGGGGAGGACATTTAACAACGTGGGGACCAGTCAGGGGAATCCCCTTATTTGTGTTTTGCATACGAGGAACCCTAGAGTAGCTAGTTAAGGCTCTCTAGTTTAGTAAAAAAAATTATGGAGTCTTATGAAGACTCTTCATAAGTGTTAATGGGGATTTTATCTGCTTATTTTGGTTACAGTTCCCAATTTTTAAAAATGTTTAGGTAATCTTCTCCGCCTTCCCCAAATCTTAATTCTTGTAGATTCATTGGTGTTGAACCAATGCTTTCACATGTCTCAATTCTTTGTACATGCGTTCTTTTCAGATGTATTAAACAAACAAAAAACCCTTAAAAAAAAAAAAAAGATACTGGATACTAAAACTGATGAGAAAGGGAAATGACACCATTAAAGTCTTACCATTGAAGTAGAATTTCAGCCTATTGGCAAATACGTTGGTTGATGGGATATTGAGCTTGGAAGCAACATGCTCCACAATGCTCCTAAAGCCACCAGATATTAGGAAAACCTGAACATTTCGCTCTTGCAGGCGACTTACCAGCTCCCTGCAAAAAAGAAATATAATATACCAGACCCTGATTATATAAAAGAAAAAACATGAAACATGAGGAGAAAACTAAAAAACATATTTTTCTCCCAAATGCATCTGCCCAAATACATCACATAAGGTATATCGCCTGGTGAATTATAATGTTTTATGAATGTTTTTCTGAATGCACTTAGAAATTAATAGGTAGGGCTGGACTGCTTAGGAAACTATCCCACAAGTCTCCTCAGCCCATGAACCTAGAAACGCAAAATGAAGAGGAAGCTTAGGCTCTCCCTAGGGAGCAAGGAAGGGCAGACGTGGGCAGACGTGGGCAGACGAGGGCACAGCCAACCAGCCAGACAAGACCACAGGCAAGAGCTGAAAGAACGAGACAGAAGGGAGCACTAGAGCAATGGTGAGAGATTCTCAAGAGGACATGCCCCCAAACACAGGTGCTGACAGAACCCAGACCGGGGCTCCTCTTACCTTATGCCAGGAGTCAGGTGGGGGGGGTGCTCTGCTATGAGCCTTTGTACCTGTTCCCTGGAGGGCTGGATCAGCGCTAAGCGCTCTGTGAGGGCAGCCTTGAAAGGCACTGCCCCACCCATGGCTCGCCGTGTCCTAGGAGGAAGACCCAACAGTCAGGCCAGACGAGTCAGATGTCCCCAGAGTTTACATGCCCAACCTCCCTAGCTCCTCCAAAGTCCACCCAGGAGGAAGGTGCTACCGAGAGCTCCACCATACAACACGCATGCTACGATGCCGTGAGAGCGAGGCCTGGGAATAAACATATGGAAGGTTTGTTTGAGAATCATACTAAGATTTTGCAGCCACGTCTCACATCAAATGCAGCTGAACATGAAATGGTCCGTGACCTGGTGACTGTAGGCAGCAATAATACTGCAGGCATAAACTGAGAGACTCTGAACCAAAACTAGCTTTCTAGCAAACCACAGAGGCCACACTTTCAACCATGACACAAAGCACTGGACACATGGTGATCCCCCACCCCGTCATCTTCTTTGGTTAGTTATGGTCATCGTTCCTCTGACCGAGCTAAGAGCATGTCACCCATATTTATTTGTCAGGGGCAACTTTCCTTTTTCCATAAATATTTGTATAAATGGATGATTGGATAATGTACACTAGTGAATTCAGTTGTAAATGATGGAAGAAGCAGCTTACTGCCCATGATTTATAGCCAGGGACTAAAAATCAGAGAAATGTGGCTCTGGTCCTACATGTTGTTGAAACGTCACTCTCTTTTGCAATTTTTTATCATTTCATAAAGTGAATAAATACTGTTCCTACATTTCTGACACAGCATCCTCAACTCCACAGAATTTGGCTAGCTCATCAATTCCTTCTTCTCTGATGACTGTGCTGTCAACATCAAAGCATACTGCATCAGCTGAACAGAAAAGTTTCCTCAACTCTGAATGGGAGACCATCCTTGGAAGAATTGTTCTCCTACAAGAGAAAAAAAATAAATATACTTAAAGGCTTATAATCATAAAAAAGATCCAATTTTGCCCATTTATGCCAATATACTTTGATTCATATCAAAGTCGGTGTATCCCTCATAAACATGGACTCACACAGACTTACTTGTTGTTTAGTACAAAATAAGCACCTTCTAAATGTCAGGTCTCAATGAGCGGGACCAAACTCTTCTCCCAGGAATTCAGTCTAGTGAAATACCAACTTATAAATATATTTGATGTTCAACCATATTCAACTCTTTTTCCCCTAATAATTATAGCAATAAGGCCAAGTGCTAAAGTGGAAATGTGCATAAGATACTGTGGGCACACAGAGAAAATGCTTTTAACCTTGCCTATGTTATAGGGATTCCAAGGGACATAGTCATTGGAGCTGAATCATGAAGAGTAAGTGGCCTGAGTAGGTTCTCAAAGGGCAGGGTATCAGCTTGGTGTGTGCTGGGCATGGGGGGCAGGGAGATAGAGGCAAGAAGAGGAAGTAATGATGGTAGAGAAAAGAGTAGGGACAAAGGCAAGGAGAAAGAATGATGGATAGGGGTGCCTGGGTGGCTCAGTCGGTTGAGTGTTGGTTGACACTTGATTTTAGCTCAGGTCATGATCCCAAGGTTGTGGGATAAAGTCCCGCATTAGGCTTCACACTCAGCTTGGGATTCTCTCTCTCTGCCCCTCTGCCCTGTTCGCGTGCATGAGCTCGCTCTCAAAAAAAAAAAAAAAAAAAAAAAAAAAAGAGATGATGGATAACATACTGGAAGCCTCCCAATGGAGTCCAGCTACCAGGTGGTGCACAAAGGGGGGCCCTGAGCCAGGCTAAGGAGTTTGGATTTTAACATCTAGGTAATGGAAAACCTTGAAAGGCCTTTGCCTCCACAGAGAGGTCAGAGCTAAACTACACATCGGTTAGTCACCAGAGTAGAGGTGGTAATTGAGGGCATGGCCTGATGAAAGTCACCAGAGAGTGGAAAGCAGGAGAAAAGAAGAGGGCTGAGGACAGAGCCCACAAGGAACAGAAAAGGTTAGATCAGGAGCCTGGGAAGGAAAATGAAAAGAGATCAAGACTCACTCACAGGAAGAGCCCTGAGGACCACTGTGCTGCAGAATCTATGGGGGACAGAGTTTCAAAAGGAATTTCGCGGGTTTTTTTACTTTTTAAGAAAATCACTGGACTGGAATCTTGAGGGTGAAGGGGATCCTAGAGGTCACCTAGACCAGTCTCCCATCAAATATGTCATGTACGAGGCCACACAGATGATGCAAATAACCTATATTTAGAATAGATGCCGGCTAAAAACAGACTCAAAGGAACTGGCCAACCTACTTCATAACTGATTTCTAACCAATGCATCTGTAAGAATGATCCAGGTCAAAGCTGACTTGCGGGGGAAAAAATCTTTTCAGCCAAGGGCTGGCAAACTAGAGCCAGCCCGTTTGGAACCCTTACCAAATAGGAAACAGGATTCACTGGAGACCCAGTAAGAAGGGGAAAGAGAAGGCAAATTAATGAATCCAGTAAGACAGTAGAGTATTAAACTAAACTAACATCAGCCTCGATGTGAATGAAGTTTCCATTAAACAGGAAACTTAAAAATACATGAATACTAAACATGTATGCTATTAATTATCTATAATCTCTTTTTCTACTATCATCATGCTCCTGTTCAAGCAGATCCCTCACCTCAGAGGACTGACTTCCCAGGTTCACATATCATCCCCCGCTGTGAACTGGGCTCCTTTGCTGGTTGCTTCTCTTCCGTTCTCTTACCGATGCAACGACCCATGGTCCACCCCTGGTCTTCTCTAACCCACCCACTCCCTCAATGAATTCATCCGGGCTTGTGGCTTTAAATGTCATCTCTATGACAGTAACTTCCAAATATACACCTGGACCCCAGGCCTCTCTCCCAAACTCCAAACTCCAACCACCTTCCTGACCTCATTCAGTTGTCTGGTAAACATGTCTAAAACTGAACTCCTGATCTTCTTGTCTCCCCAAAACGGCTATTCTTGCACCTTCCTTCTCTCCCCTGATGGCAACTCCATTTTTCAGTCACCCTCGACATTTTTCTTTCTCTCAAAACCCATATCCCATCATTCAAGAAATTATGTTGGTTTCACCTTGAAAGCCTAACCAAAATCTGACCACTTCTCACCCTAACCACTGCTATTGCTCTAGCCTGGGTTACGAATATTTCTTGCCAAGACTGCACCAGTAGCCTCCTAAAAGGTCTCCCGTCCCAGTTTTTTGTTCTTAACATAACAGCCAAAGTAATCATTGTAAGCTATAAACCAAATTATGTCACACTTACTTCTAGCTCAAATTCCTTCAATGGCTCCTCATTTTATTAACAATAAAAGCCAAAGTTCTTACAATCACCTATAAGGTCAGCCCCCCATCCTGGCACCACTACCACCACCACTGCCTCCCCCCCCATTACATCTCTGACCTCACTTCCTACTCCTCCCCCTTGCTCACTCTGCTCCAACCACACCAGTCCTCTTGCTGCTCTGGAAATACACTGGGCAGGTTTCCCACTCAGGGCCTTTGCTCCAGATGTGCCCTTGGTGGGAATGCTCTTCACTCAGATACCCACTTGGCCAAGTCCCTTATCAAGAGTAAAAAATAATGACTCTTTTAAAAAAGTGATTGCTCAGGGGCATCTGGGTGGCTCAGTCGGTTAAGTGTCTGACTTTGGCTCAGGTCATGATCTCACAGTCTGAGTTCGAGCCCGGCATCGGGCTCTGTGCTGACAGCTTAGAGCCTGGA